CCCCTAAGATTGAGTGCATGATGTGTCTTTTTAACCTGCTTTCCCTTTCTATTTTAATTTTTTAGTATTCTTTTTAGAGTTGTTTTTATGTAAGCCGCCGGGAGTCCTTCGGGATTGGGCGGCATATAAATTCATTAAACTTTGAACTTTGAACATGAACAGTATATGGTCTGTTTCACAATCAGCCCCTGGCCACATTGCTGTTATAAATGAGCTCTTCTACCACCTTGAACCAATGATATAATTAACTTGATTTCTGTATGCTCATCTCATAATGTCCGTGTATATGGGAATCATTTTGGTGGTTTGAAGGATATATTAGCAATGACAAAAATTCATTGGTTTGGAAGAGACTAATAAGCCATTTTTCTGTTTCATTTCTAGTTCTTTGTTGAAATCTAACTGTTCCTGTTTGGTCACTGGTTGCATTTTACTCAGGTATTATCTTTGCGATAAACTTCCTCAGTACGAAGGTCCTGTTATTTACTCTTTTTGTCTGTGTGTGTGTCTGTCCATCCTATATATGGTTTCTAATGAAAGATATCCATTTCCAGCCTAATATATCAATATGTAGTCAATTTATTTTATGTTCAATGTATTAAACTTTGTCATGTTTGTGTGTCTAGCATTCCACGTTCCCACATAATTCCTTTATAAATATTATTATTCCAAAAGATCCTCAGATATTCCTCAGTAGCATGTTAATCTGAGAGACCCATCATTTGGCACTATACCCTCAATTATTTTATCTTGTCCATCTTTATGGTGTTCTTGATAAAATGCAGGTCTTCTCTCTCATAGTATAAAATGATGCCTTTTCCATTACCATTAAAATGATAAATATGAAGTCCAAAATCTTCCTATAATTGCTACTGACTGATACACATGCCTGATTGCTTTAGATGGGCAACTGGAATGGTCCTGCCTTGGCCCTTGGGTGACCTTGCTGGGAATATTTACTCTTGGAATCTACTCCCAATGTTCTTTGCTTATACTTCCCAGACTTTTCCCACTACAACCACCATAAAGCAGCATTGTAGGATTGGGAGGGGCATCTTGGGATATAAGGGAATAATGTATATTTCTCTTCCTGTTCAGTGATCACTAACAGATTGTCCCAGTTCTTGAATACCCGTCTCTACTTTGACTTATTGTTCTATGATACTCTGGAACCTGAATCTTCCTCAACTTGGATCACACATTTGCATCTGAGTCTCATTCTCTAACACCACCATCACAACCTGGTTGCAAAAGGTAAAGGCTTGGGATCTGATTCTTATTGAGATCTGACACAATCTTTCTTTTCCACTGAAAGGGAAGGACCTACTTTGTGGCTGATTCTGGTACTTGGATTGACATTTCTGTGCATGTGCAAAAGGGTCATGCGCACGCACGAGCGAACCGGTAGTAAAATAAATTGAAACCCACCACTGGAGTAGAAGTACCTCTATAAGAGTAGAGGTACTCTATAAAGTATCTCTAGTACACAATCAATTATCAGATTAATGAAAAATTGTGCTAGAATAATCTTTTCTTTTGTAAAAAAAAAAGCCACACTAGAAAGAAAGATAAGGCATTTCATTCTAGACCAGCATGTATGATATCAAAGATAGGCATAGTGCAGTTGGAAGGACGTGAGAAAGAGATCCTGTAATCAATAGCTGAACTACTTATTCTAATGAATGATTATATTTTGGAATACTAGTCTCACAAGCTAAAGAAAGCATATGACAATGTCTGTCTTCCTAAAGGGAGTAAAAATGCAATAACGCTCAGATTTAGACTAACTGAAAATTGCTTTTCAGAATCTAATGCATTGTTTTGCCAAATAGTAAGAAGAGGAGGAAAAATCAATTGATTCATTTATTTATTCAATTCCTAATTCAACTTCATTTTCAGCAAGAATGTATTCCAGCTCCTAACATCTTCCTATAATTTTTCATCTTGATGGGCAGGGAACATGACTGGTCATCACCAATTTTTACACCTGCAGATCTATTGTAGGTGTTCAGACATCGGTAAGGCTTATCACCCGTGATTTTGCAGTGTAATGATCCAAATGTAGGAGCGGTTTCTTTGATGCACCCTTGTAATGGCAAATTGCATTCCACTAATACAGTGGGAGAAGGAACACTACATGGAGCAAAAACATATAGTCATGTAGAAAGTCAAGTCAAAGTAACACATAAAACACAATTATGATAAGGATATGGATTAAAGAGTGCTCATAATTGTGTTCCATATCACTTCCGGGGAGTGGCCTGTCGCCGTCGGCAGCTTAACAGAGCTGCCCCCAGANCACATATGTGCGAGGGGAACCTTTACCTTCACTTTTACCCAAATTCTACAGTTGTTGAACTTTATTTCCCCCCCCTCTTTGATCTACAGAGCTGTTTTCCAATGTGAAAACAGCATTTTAAAAATGTCTGTAAATTTATTAAAAAGAAAAAAAATTGAAATGCCTTTCCCAATCATGTCCAATCAATTTAATTTACCACAGGTGGACTCCTTTCAAGGTGTAGGAACATGCCAGCTTTGATCAAGAAAAATGGGAGGCATTTGAGTTTCACATGTTGTTGCAAGGTGTCTGAATACTTATGCCGATATAATATTTCAGGTTTTTTTTTCCTTTTGCTAAATTTACAGGCATTTCTAAAATTCTGTTTTCACTTTGTCGTGATGGGGTACTGAATGTAGATTAATAAGAAAAAAAAATGAATTCCAGCAAGTGTAGAATCGGGCTGCAGCACAGCAAAACTGACAAAAGCTGAATGCAGTGTACAGTGGTGGGGAAATTAAAAAGCTAGGTTAAATAGGGCTCCATACAGGTAGTCCTCGACTTACAACCACAGTTGAGCCCAAAGTTTCTTACTGCGAAATGAGACAGTTGTTAAGTGAATTTTGCCCCATTTTGCAGCCTTTCTTGCCACCGTTGTTAAGTGAATCACAGCAGTTGTTAAGTTGTTAAGCGAATCTGGCATCCCCATTGATTTTGCTCGTTGGAAGGTCACCCAAAAATGATCACATGATCCCAGGTCACTGCAACTGTCATAAATATGAGTCAGTTGCCAAGTGTCTGCATTTGAATCACATGACCATGGGGATGTAGCAATGGTCATAAATGTGAAAAATTGTCCTTTTTTCAGTGCCATGGTAGATTACAGAACTGTCGTAAGTCTAGGGCAGGGGTCATCAAACTGCGGCTCTGGAGCTGCATGTGGCTCTTTCCTCCCTCTGCTGCAGCTCCGTCACTGGTGGGCTACAAGTTTGAGAGGAGCTTTCGGTGGGGGAGGAGGGAGAGAAGCACAGTACACCAGGAGAAGACTCTATGGCAAGGGGAGGGTTTTCCAGTTGTCTCCACAATTGATAGAGCTTTCGGTTATGATAGGAAGAGGAGAAAGGATGCCGCGCTAGGAGGAGACTCTATGGTGAAGGAACTGAACTTCCGGTCAGCTCCAGAATTGAACAGGGGGCTTCCAGTTAGGACCGTTGTGGCTCCCGGTGTTTTCTTTTCTGTGGGTCCAAATGGCTCTTTGAGTGTTTAAGCTTGCCGATCCCTGGTCTAGGGCTACTTATATTTCTAGCCAATAGCCATACATCTCACCTCCATGACTTATTCCTGCTGAGTACTTTGCCATAACCTCCTGCATTTTTGATCCCACCAGCACCAGCTCCAATTCAACCAAGTCGCAACTACTTGACACCGCCCCCCTCTTCCCATAAAAAGCCAGACACTCCCTCTTCTGAGTCTGAAGGGAAGAAACCAGGCACTAAACCACATCAGGGTCGCCGCCCCACCAACACCACCTTACTGACTAAGGAGCAATTCCTGAAAAGAATGACCCAGAATATCTCATCCAAACTGTCCCCATACAACGGGACCCTCCTTGAGCGGCTCGAGAGCTACCTCCGGGCCACCAATTTCCCTCTCCGAGGCAACCAGACGATCCAGAGCGTGGCCAGGGACATCTACCTCTACCTCAAACGGATGAAGCCCATCGAATTTCAAGAGAAGGTTGAAGAACGTCTTGTCCAAGAAACCAGCAACTTGTCTCTGAAAAGGGAATTCCCAATAACCGAAGCAGATGGTGTCTACTCAGATGGATACCTCCGTCCGGACCATGCCAAGCCAGCGGTGGTGACCAGCTCCCCAGACCACATTGAGGTGTCTTTGGACAGCGTGAGGGGCATTTCTGACCATGTGGTCATCCGCTACCGAAACATGGTGACTGGAGAAAGAAAGGAGTTAATAGTCCCTGGAGATGCTTCCACAGCAACCATCACCGGATTGTCACCTGGAACAACCTACTTGATGGAAATTCATGGTGTCATGAAGGGACATTCCTCTAAGTCCTACTCCTTTATAACTGCCACAGGTACCAGGGTTGGTAGGGCAGCCTTCTACCATGGCAGTTTTCTCTCTCCTTTTGCCTATAATAGTCGCATCACATGCCTTGTTTGTGTTGTTGCAAAGTCGAGCTTCTGTGGCCCCCACACATGGCCAAATATGTAATCACACTTTGCTTTCACGTCCTCCCCCAAAGTTGCTTGGACAATAGGCTGCTGGCTATTTTCCTCCCTTAAAAGAAAGTCCTTCTTCTCTGCCATATTGCTTTCACGCAGACGTCACAACGTCCACCAGCTAATTTCTTCTCCAAGCCAAAATGCGCCTTTACTTGCTGCTCCAAAGTTTGTTGTGATGTGTTTTGATTTTGCTACACGCCACTTCCTGTAGCCAAAGTGCTTCCCGTTCATCTTTTATATGTTGTCCAGAGTTCCTCTGATGTCTATTTGCAAACTATGGGATGTTTTCCCACACAATCACACAAGGAAGGATTTTATTACAACTGTGGATGATAACGTGTGTAAAGAGCTTAGAGAGCACAGAGAAGTGACTGAAATATATTGAATTATTTCTTAATAATTTAAAACCTGACTTTCTTCTGAAGAAATCACCGTTTTTATCCTTACAGTGATTCTGAGAAAGAATAATTTCTCCAATATCACCCCACAGCAGCCCCTGTCTCTTCATAAAAATAGCCTGTATATAAATGGATACACATTTATGTCCAATATTCTCCTGATTTACTGAAAGGTTTTACACAATTTGGTAAAACATTTCTCAATATGTTGGCTCAAATAGATACAAATGAAAGGCAGAGTTTGTCAAAACTGAAGAGATCAAAATCAGACCATCAAAACATTTACGTGTGGGTGTTGAAATCACGCTGAAAATTATCTTTGCGTAGAAACATTGTCCTGGTGCTGACATTCTCCTCTCTTATGTGTTATTTAAATTTTTAACACGCCACTCGCTTTCTTTTCAGCCACAGTCAGGTGCTGATAGTTGTTCAAGAGAAAAGTCTTTTTTGTGTTTAATCACTTTAATTTTCCAGGCTTCAAGTTCTTGCCTTAATGTTGCATTTCTGTGGCTCAAAACTTTCTTTTCAGCTTCCGTTCCAGCAATGTTGGCTTTCAGTGTCGAGCCAGTTTATGTCGTTGCTCTGCTATTATTGCCACTGCTGCTGTTGCCACCACCTTCACACCTCCAAACCACAATTTCTAAGTGTCTTTCTTGCCGTTTAGCTGGGATTTCTAGGTTTTTATTTTCTGAAATGAAGGGAACCTTATTCTAAAGACTTTGCTTGTTCTTCTGGCAATAGTGGGAAAATCAGCTCTGATACATGTCTGGCTAGCATATCTCTCTGTTGAAATGAACCTTAGGCCTGATTCCCACAATATTATCGGGCAGCTTCAGGGGTGGGTTCCTGCCAGTTCTAACCTCTTCTATAGAAGAGGTTCCACAAATCTACAGTGCTGTTTAGAACCGGTTCCAGCTCCCTCCCCCCGCCCGTCCGCACATCATCAAGATTAAGAGCGAGAGGAGGAATTCTGGGAGTTGAAGTCCACAAGTCTTAAAGCTGTCAAGTTTGAACACTCCTGGGTTTTTATTTCTAAAGGGTTAGGGGTGCAAGGGTCTTGTAACTTGACAGTTTTAAGACTTGCGTGCTTCAAATGCCAGAGTTTCTGAGCCAACATTTTGGTTGCTAAGCAAGAGCGTTGTTAAGTGAGTTTCACCACATTTTACAAGTTGGCCACGCCTACCCAGTCACATGGCTGGCAAGTCACTCCCACTTGGTCACATGGCTGGCAATCCACTCCCACAAAGCAGGCCACACTTACAAAAGAGATTCCAAAAAAATTTGAAACCCACCGCTGGGCAGCTTCTACCTCCCAGTGTGAAAACTAGCCCTTCATGTAGCTGGTGGAGCAAACTATCACTGTGAGCCATAAAATGGAGGAAAGACAGTCCATGATTTTCTACCACAACAGAGTCTGCCTATCACGCTTGTAATTTGCGGCCGTTGTAAAGAGGGTCAGTCATGTGAAAAAACTTTATTCTACTATCATTTGTGCCGTTAAGTGAACATTGGGCACAGTTTTGCCAAAATTGGAAGTAAAATGTCACGTTTGGTTTGGGCAAAACCAACATAAAATAGGGTCACGTGACTGCAGAGTGCTGCAAAGAGCCGTAAATGAGACTTGGTTGCCAAGCAACTGAGGTTGCCGAGCAACCGAGTCTTTGTCATGTGATTGAGGGAAGGGGGGTGACCATCGGAACTTTGAATCCAGGTTTTAAGTACCCCCAAGGTGGGTCCATTGGATCTTCAAAGGGTTACTTGGAGACAGGTCATAGGTCGGGCACTAACCATACAGGTAGTCCTCGATTTACGACCAACTGAGCCTAAAATTTCTGTTGCTAAGCAGGAAAGCTGTTAAGTAAGTTTTGCCCCATTTTACGAACTTTCTTGCCACGGTTGTTAAGTGAACCACAGGAGTTGTTAAGTTAGTGACACGGTTGTTAAGTGAATCTGACTCCTCCATTGATTTTGCTTGTCAGAAGGTTACAAAGGGGGATCACGTGACCCCGTGACACTATAATCGTCATAAATACATGCCAATTCCAAGCATTTGAATTTTTTAAAATATTTTATTTTTATTTTTCGAATAACAACAAACAAAATCATCCTCCATTACAAATTGTAAAAAGTGTGTCAGTTGGTTACGAAGAGTTTTTGTGTAACTCTTCCACACTCATCACCTCTGATTCATATCAAATTATCTATTTTACATCAGATATACATAGATGTATTGTTATCATCATACTTCATCCTTCATATGACTACAGTTGTTTTAACGTCCCTTTATAACAAACATTCCAAAATTTAAAACAAAACCACATAGGGGCATTCTCTTATCTATTTTCAATATCATCCAACCACATTATACCTTTATAACACATTCAAAATAAAAATTAATGATGTTCAATAACAACATTTTTAAACCTCTTTTCTTAATCATTGTTTACAATTTATTTCCAGTTTTCCCTTTTATCCTGTCAATACAAATTATTACATTATTATCATTAGCAGTCATTTATTTAACAATAGTTTGACTATGTTTAACTTACTTTCCCCCCTTTTTTCACCATTTAAAAATTTATACCAAATTTCCTCTCATCAAACCAATACAAATGTATACGTTGTTATCACTATCAATTATTTACCTAACTTTATCATTATCACATTTTTAACATAATGCTCTAATTTTAACTAAATTTAACTAATGTTTTCTTATTAATTTTCGTATCTCAACCTGTGTCTTTCCAGTAATAGTGAAGTCCTATTTCTTTTGCCATTTGTGGAATTGGTCTTCTGGTTATTAATCAACTTTGGACTTCGCAACTTGTTGCTTATTACATATCTTGTAAAATCTCGAAACCCTCCATCAGCTTCCTTAATCAGCATTTGAATTTTTGATCATGTGACCATGGGGATGCTGCAACGGTTGTGTGAAAAATAGTCATAAGTCACTTTTTAGTGCTGTTGCGACTTCAAACAGTCACTAAATGAATGGTTGTAACTCAAGGACTGCTGGTACCGATAGTTGCTTGGACACAGCAGGTTATGTGAATGCAGCAATTATGGTTTTTAAAGCCAAGTTAAGCATGTTGTCTAGATATGGTATTTGCATCAATTCCTCACACTTAAAATTATAATAATATGGAATGGAATGGAATGGAATGGAATGGAATAGAATAGAATAGAATAGAATAGAATAGAATAGAATAGAATAGAATAGACAGAGTTGGAAGGGATCTTGCAGGTCATCTAGTCCAACCCCCTGCCCAAGCAGGAGACTCTACACTATTTCTGAACAAATTTCCCTTCTTTAAATCTAAGGTAAACAAAGTATACTTATGTAAAAGGAGGATTAAGAATGATAGAACGGGATGATCTATGCAGATACTCCCACCCTCGGAAAATAGCTAGTTTTTATAATGGAGGAAATGGGCTTGTCTAGATGTCAAAAAGTTTGTGTATTTAGAATTGGGCGTTATGTGATTCAGGAAGCACTGCCCTTGCTCTGAATTGAAGTTCTTTATCTTTAGATAAAGTTTCCATGTCAGAAAAAAAAAAATTGGCACCAAAACCAATGCTCCTTAAGCTAATCAAAAAAGGAAGGATAAAAACTTGAAAGCTAAATAACAGAATTCCGTTTCTACCTTCAAAATAATTCACGGATTAATTTTAAAAGTTTATCTTTTTAAATTAATTTCAATGTCCCTCATATTCCCTATAATTGGTTCTGCTGAATACAAATATTTTAGAGAATGCATAATTATTGATTTTGGCATCTTATTTACTGTCATAATGACTCATTATTTTGGCATTATGATGTCTTATGCAGCTTAGTTCCTTAGCATGACTATTTATATGGAATACTTGAAACAGAACCGGTCTCTGCTCAAAGTAATACACATGTAGTTATGTGTAATTCTACAACATTAACTGCATGAAATGCTTAATTATGAAATTAAGCTTATTTTGAGAGAACATTTGAAGCTTTTCGGTAATGAGCAACTCAGCTTTGGAAATCCAGATAGCAACATTTCTGTGAATTTTTCTTTAATTTAATGTAGGATTGGGAACATTATTTATCAAATTTAGAGGGATGAAACATCTCACTCACAGAATGACTCTGGGGTACAGTTCTAAAAATTTCCCGTTTCTGATTCCCATGTAATAATCTGTCACATTTCAAAGGCTCAAAAATTCAAACTGCAATGAAAAGGCACACAGAGAGATACAAGAAGTCCTTGAGTTACAACCATTCCTTTCGTGACTGTTGGAAGTTGTTCAGTGTTGGAAGAACTGAAAAAAAGTGACATATGACCATTTTTCACACTTAACATTGCAGCCTCCCCCTGGTCATGTGAGCAGAATTCGGGTGCTAGGCAACTGGCATGTATTTATGACGGTTGTGGTTTCCCGGGGTTATGTGATCATTTTTTATGATCTCCTTACCAGCAAAGTCATTGGGAAAGCCAAATTCACTTAACAACCATATTACTAACTTGAGAAATGTTGTGATTCATTTAACAACTGTGGTTAAAAAAGGTCATAAAATGAGGCACAACTCAACTCACCTGACTAGCCAAGTTAAGCATGTTGTCTAGATATGACACTTGCATCAATTCCTCACACTTAAAATTATAATAATATAGGATGGGATGGGATGGGATAGGATAGGTTCAGTGGCGGGATTCAAATAGTTTAACAATCAGTTCTCTGTCCTAATGACCAGCTGGGTAGGTGTGGGTCAGTGGTCATGTGGCTGGGTGGGCATGGCCAACTCAACATCAGTCAGGTAGATGGACGCTTCTCCTTAGCTGTTACAATGCAATGAGGCTTAACTGGAGAAGCAGTTTCTGTAATCATGGCAATAAAGATTAGGCTAGAAACAACGCCAGAATGTTTCCTTCCTGCCTTCCTTACAGGATTAGCCCTGTAAANGTTAGGGTTAGGGTTAGGTTTAGGGTTAGGTTAAGGGTTAGGGTTAGGTTTAGGGTTAGGTTAAGGGTTAGGTTTAGGATTAGGTTTAGGGGGGTTAGGTTTAGGTTTAGGGGTTAATTTTAGGTTTAGCGTTTACAGTGTGCTTCTGTCTCCGCGCTGTTGTTGCACTGTTGATGACATCAGCTACGCGGTTTAGTCGAGCGCGGTTTAGTCGAACGCGGTTTTGTGGTGGAACCGTATGTGGTATCACTCTCTTTTTTTCCCCTTTCCGACCTGCAGAAGGATCCTCGGGCGGGCGAATCCATAAACCTGTCTGGCAATGAAAGGAACTTTGAATACAAAGGATTAAAGCCGGGGGAGGAATACACAGTCACCGTTCGGGTAGAAAAAGGGCAACTCTACGGACCCCCTTTCACCCAGACCGTGCGTACGCGTATGTAGTCTGGAGCTGTGGCTCCATTTCTGTCCGCCTCCTGCATTTTCCATTCCCACCCCACAACCCCTCGTTGACCTGTTCCATCTTTGTACAATTTCCCTTCTCCTTGTCAAGCAGGATATCTAGGTCTGGTCTATTCTCTCTAAGTCATACGTTTATTCAGATCTGGTCAAAGATGGGTCCTCACTCACAAAGCCTTTTTTTTTTTGCCACGGTGATTAAGTGAATCATGCAGTCATTAAGCAAAGCCAGTTGACCTGTTGATTTAGCCTGTCAGAAGCTGTCCGGGAAGATTGCAAGTGTCAATCACGTGATTCCCCCAGGATGCTGCAACCGTGTGATTTGCATGCCGGTTGCCAAGCGACAGAATCATGATCACATGACTGCGACAGTCATACGTGCAAGGAATGGACATACACCACTTCTTTCGGTGCCACTTTGTCACTTTGAATGGGTGCTAAACAAATTTGGTTGTAAGTCAAGGATTTTCCTGTAATACTAGAATGCTTTCCCGCCCTTCTCATTTCTTGTAAATTCTTTGTGCAATTTGTATATTTTGCCAGATTTCAATGTGTTCTTTTCTCCTCCTCTTTCTTTCTCTTTCTGTTTTTTTTTCTGTTTTCATTCTCCAAATATCATTCTAAGTAAATAAAAATAAAGAGTGAATATCCTCATTAAGATCCTATCACACAGAAGAGGGAATCAAGCACCTGAGGGCAGGACAAAAAGCAATGGGTGGAAACTAATCAAGGAGAGAAGCAACCTAGAACTAAGGAGAAACTTTCTGACAGTTAGAACAATTAATCAGTGGAACAACTTGCCTCCAGAAGCTGTGAATGCTCCAACATTGGAAGTTTTTAAGAAGATGTTGGACAACCATTTGTCTGAAGTGGTGTAGGGTTTCCTGCCTAAGCAGGGGGTTGGACTAGAAGACCTCCGAGGTCCCTTCCAACTCTGTTCTTCGATCTATGAAATTAGTAAGAGGAAAAATACATTAAAATGGATTTAATTATGCTAGTTTAAGAGGAGGTAAATCGGCCCGTTATTAAATAATGGTTTATATCTCCCAGTTTGTTATGCTACTTTCTCTGCATTTGATCCTTCCTTGCATTAAATAGCTGCAGCTCCTGTTATTCCTCATTTAGGAATAACTGGTCTGAGGTGCAAGAATCTTAATCTCTATGGAGATTCTCAGTCATCCAAGTCATGTTTGTTCCAAAGGTGTTTTTGTTTTTTTTTCAAAAGACAACTGGACTTTCTTTGTTTTTCCTTGAAGACGTTTTGCTTCGTATCCAAGAAACTTCTTCAGTTCTGACTGAATGGTGGGGAATGGAGGACTTTGCAACACAGTCCTTTCAGCAGTTCCAAGAAGGTTCCACAACTTATTTGCACTATATAGGTGACCCTGCGGTAAACCTCCAAGTGGCCTCAATGGCTCTCAGAGAGAGCGCTAACGATCAGATGACTGCAAGGAGTATCGATCCTTTCATTCTCCATCATTCGGTCAGAACTGAAGAAGCTTCTTGGATGAGAAGCGAAGCATCCTCAAGGGGGAAAAAAAAGTCCAGTTGCCTCTTGAAAAAAGCACCTTTGGGACAAGGATCTTAAGAACCACTAGATGGCAGCAAAGAGTTATACTATTTTTTTTCCTAGCTCTTTGCTGCCATTTTGATGTCATCTGGATTTGACAGACCAGATGTGGTGACTCTTGTTGACTCCTTTCGTTAAGCTCAACCCCATCTCTTTCCACCTCCAGTTGTTCCCCACCCTTATTCCCACTCCCAATGCAACGTTCTGCGTTTCATGTATCTCTTCCTTTTCCCCCAGGAGTGGCTCCTCCCACTGGCTTGCAGTCATCCCAAGTGTCGGGAAACTCCCTGACCTTGCAATGGGAACCACCTGCCTCTCGCCCTGATGGCTACATCCTCAGCTACGTCCCTCTGACTTCCACTCGACCCGTTAAAGCCATGAAACGTGTAGAGCTGCCCGCAGCCCCTGAGCGTGTCACTCTGGAAGACCTGGAGAGCAGAACGCGATACCGCATCACCTTGGTTGCCCGTCAGAGTGGTGAGAACAGCCGAGCCACCAGCATTGTTGTCAGCACCACAGGTAGATCTCTAGTGTCTTGACTGCATTGGTCTAGAACAGTGTTTCTCAACCTTGGCGACTTGAAGATGTCCGGACTTCAACTCCCAGAATTCCCCAGCCAGCG